AATGGACTTGAGATAAACCTCAAATATCTTTGGCAACTCTAACAAGTTAGTCGATCCTCTCCTCAAGTATCACCACACCATGGGATACGCCTTCAGAGGAGAACAGTGTGTTGCATCCTGAACACACAAAACCATCAGGAGTTTTCTATCAGATATATATGCAGCGGAATACAAACCTGAAAAACTCCTCAACCACCTTCAGGTAAAAATAGTAACCCTTGAACAACACCATCCTTCAGGTGAAATAGGTTAACCTGGATTTGAAAATAAATCAAACCCTTAACACAGTAGCTTACCATCAAAGTTGCACGCCTAAAACCAATCACAGACAAGTCCAATACAAACCCTATCATGAACGGTCCATCATTCATTTCTAGGAACCGTTCCAACAATAATATGAACTCTCCAAGTTCATACAGCTTTTAAGTAGAAACCTTCTACCTTGCACTTAACCAGAAAGTATCCTCCACAGATCTGATCTGACATAAACAAACAGGCAAGATATCAACAATAAAATAAGACTAAAAAGCATAAACAACACATAGAATTGTTAACCCAGTTTATAACAACTCTTGTACTCTGTGAGTATATCAAGTCAGAGACAAATCCACTATGATAGTATCAATTTAAAGCTAAATTCTCCCGTTTACAACTTCTCACTTAATCATTATCCTTCTTAAATTTCTATCTAAGACTCACTTAGATATGAGACCCTCTTCAATCACACAGTGATTGAATCAACACAATTCTGAACAAACAGGAACATACACTTCCATGATAATCACTAGCCAATACTCTTGACTAAGATCACAACTTGGATTTGCTTCAAAGCTTCCTCCGAGAATAATACTCAACTCATTACTTCACAACTTTTGAGTGAGAACAACAATGACCATCTCATAACCCGAGTGGTTCACTTACACCAACTCTCCTAGAGAGCGGAAAAAAGACAAAACCCTAGACTTCTACATCTTGAACTTATGTCTTTCCTAGATTACAAACACTTCTATTTATAACCTATACCCAACTTGATTTGGGCCTTCAAACTACAGCATGTCAGTTGTAACAAACAGCAGTAACTTCTGCTACAGACAAAGTCTTCAATCAAATCTTCCTAAATTATCTCCAAATTTAGAAAGTGTATATTCTTCAATATTCTGATTGATTTTTCTTGACCTTTAAATCAGCGCCCTATAATGTTGCATAATATTTCTCAAAATATTCTGCATCAGTTAAAACATAACAGAATCTAATTGCCCATTTCAGCTCAGGCGTAATGTCACATGCTCCTTCATAGGACATCTTATCCGACATGGTGTTCCAGATGTTGAAACTCTTCAACTTAACATGTCCTAATATGAGATAGAACTTCTTGCTCAACATGTCCTTGTTAGCAAGTTAATACATCCTATCTAACATATTGTTGTATTATTTGTTTTACAAAAATTAATGTCAATCCTTAAAACTAGAGAACTTACACAGTATAAATATTACTCATAATATTCGTACGTATGTCAAAACTTGATAACTCCTTATCCATGATTTATGAGATGTGATCATCAGTCTATCTACATAATAATCTGAATATTTTAATGTTATCCCACTTCACAATAAAGCTCGACTACAAATACTTTAGAAATAGTGTATTTTTGTTTAATGAGATCTAATGATTAAGTCACACTTAATATTTCATTAAACAGACGAACTATTCTATGAACTTTATTATTTTGGAAAAATTAACTTAATAAAGAAATGTCTTTTATTATTAATAAATAATTCGATACAAGTATAAAAGTATTGGCCTCTAGAGCTTACACCAACAATTGACAATAAAGATGAAAAAAAATAAAAAGAAGAAAAAAATTAAAATTTTACTAACCAAGTAATTGTGTGACCGCATTCTTATTTAAGATGTTTCATGTCTTGGATGATGACGGAAACAACCATTTATTTGAGATTTTATTTATGTTAATAATTTGTAATTAAATAACACATTCACTTGATAATCTTAGTCATAAGTAACTAATCTCCAATATTTCAATAGACAAATATTATTGGTTGTTATGTTAGACTTTCCAATTATAGTTTGAAATTGAACTTCATAAACAAATTTCTTGAATTTACCTTAAAGATTTGGGTGCAGTTTGTTGATTGTGTAGTTTGGATTGCTGTATCATGTTGTCGGGTGTGGGAGTGCAGTTATGTAGTTTGTACTCAACCAATAAAGGTCATCGAAATAGTTAAGAAGTTTCCAATACAGTAAAGTGTACAACATATATTTCTGTTGTAATTAATTAAACTTTTAGTGAGATGCCTCCTAAACTAGTATAGGAAAGTATATGATGAAAAAATGCTCAATGACTGTGCCTCCTAGACTTGTAATGGACAATACTGAATAATGTGATACGCGATAACATCAGTAATGTATTGTTATATGGCCAGATTACAAATAAGCATCAATTTAACTATAGAGAAGTGTTATTAATTGAATGGAATAAACTCAATAAAGTGATACTCATTACTTGTTTATGCATAGTTGACTAGCTTTGTATAATAAAGCTTATTCAAAATGTATAGAATCTTAGAACCAGATGCCAAAAGCAATTCATATTTGATTGTTATTAAGAAAAACACAGCCTAGAAAACAAGCATCATGCACAAACCGATGCTGTTGCCATTCCTGAAATTTCTTTATTTTCAATAAAACATTTAGAGCCATAGGAAGTGAAGGAATACAATGCATCTAGCATCATCAATACAACACTTATTTTGGAACCAAGAACTCAGAAAAACATAACAAAGACAGCTGGTCAATTTAGGAAACAACAGTAATAACATGATCCTCTTTCTCTGGCTTGAAAACTCACTCAAACGGATTTAGGTTGTTGCACAACATCCATCAAAAAATTGGTGAAAAACTCTTCATAAGATGGCAATTTTGCATAGCCAGGAAAGTAATTGATATCAATCACAAGGTACCTTCCTGGATTTTTACCATCTCTAATGACATCCACATTGAAAAGATTAAGTCCTAATCTTTCCCTCAAGACTCTTGCCAACTCAGAGACCAAACTCTGAGGAGGCATTTCAGCCTTATCAACAGCACTACTACCACCACCATCACCCTCACCCAAGTTGGATATTTGCGAAAACGGCACCGACCCTTTAATCGTTTTGAGCTTCTCTTGTGAAATATCATTCAAAGATTTGCGCTTTACGCATTTAAACTGCTTCCCAGCAACGTAAATCTTGAAAATGACCCCACCGTGGTTCACAAATTCCTGCAGCACCATAGGATTATTATCCAAGGACTTAACACCGTCACGGTCAAAAACCAAAAACAGATTGTGAGAATCAACAGTCCCGTTGGCCTCCAACGGTTTTGCAATTAACGGAAACCTCAAACTATGTTCCTCAATTGAACCGAGATCGAAGGATATCGGTTCCTCGACAACAACTTGGTTGGGAATTTCGACAGTAGCGTTTTCATTTTGAATGGAAAGTTGTAACTGGGTGACTGATTCGAGCATGGTAATGCGATTGTGAAGACGATCTATTAACTCGGGAGGGTCGATGATGACTGTGTTTGGGTGTTTGGTTGAGAATTCTTGCAACTGATTCTTCCAGCTTTGGGTGTGGAGTTTGTGGAGGATGCAGTGGAATGGACCTTGTTGGGATAAGGGTATGGTGAGGTCGATTTGTATGAGATCAATGGAATGTTGTTTGGCGTAATGGAGGAATGAGGGTTGAATGAAGGTATCGACTTTCTTGGGTTCAAGAGCATAACCTACTCGACTCATTTTTCTTTCTTTCTTGATATACTATGTTGTAGGATAGGATGACTTCTCTTGGTTTTCTTAAATAGGATTCAATTGAGTAAAAAAATAGTATTCACTTAAGAAAGTTAACTTTTTTTTACTTCTTATGAGAATATATTTATTTATAAATGTTTTAATGTATCTCAATGGTGGGGACTAGATCCTTTAAATTTGACAGTAAAACCAACGATGGGGACTGCTACCAAATTAAAAAATCACTTACATTATACTCCACCATATTAACCCCAAGCCGACATAGCCATGGAGCAACCACATAAGTAAATATCGTCTACTTCGTACAGGAAGGTTCTCCCTAAAGTAAAGTTATACATATGTATACATCCATTTTACATTCAATATTCTTTATGAATAGTGATTATTAATAGAGGCTTCTACTTTTATCTTCTTCAATATTCTGAAAGTTGCATAGAAGTTGATAAGTATGGATGGTTACCATATTTACCTTTCTCCTTACATATTAATCATAATAATTGACGTTTCAAGAAATAATAGATTGGAGGGACTCGTGCAAAGACTCAAAAACAATTTTATCATCATACTTAAATATATTAGGGACATCTCAAACAATTCGAAAAGGGTGTAATAAATTATTTAATATTTATCGTCTAACATAAAATTTGCTTTAGTTTTACTACAATGTATTGGGTTCAATTCCTTCAAATCGGTCTTTATTATTATTCTATTTTTATCAAATAAATTTATAGTATAAATAACATCTGAACAGAATCTTTTAAAAAATAAGTTTATGCACACGTATCTGATACAGTAAGATACAAATTTAGGACAAGAGAAGAACAGGCATTAACATAATAAAAAACTTATGGGGGACAAAAATAAGTGTACAGCAGTACTGTTTAAATTAGAGTAAGAATAAACGCTTGAGTTCATGCTATATAGTATGCAGTCTTACTGTCATAAATTTTCTTTCAATCGACAGCTGAAGAAACATTTCTATACCACACACATTGGGAGCAGGCTTGGAAAATGATCTACATCAAAAACAAGAAATACTAATACAAAATGTGGCTAAAATAACATGGCAATTGACAAAATTGTGGCCTGCATATTCTTTACTGACAGCAACCGTGAAAATTTTGAAGGAATCAAGTTCTTCCATCAGTCAATCAACATATGTATACATGAGAGGATGAAAGCACCAACTTATGCTTGTAGTTGAATAGATTCAATTTTGTTGTAAGCGACATCCTTGACTTTCTTGTGTGAACCATGTTTTGATTTGTTTGATTTTCTCTTCTTTGAAGCTGTATCATTTTCAAGAGTCTGATCCTCAATCCCATTTTCATGTCTAGATTTGTGTGATTTCCTTTTCTTTGAAGCGGTATTATTTTCAATAACGTTATCTTTCTCCCCGTTCTCATTTTCTTGATCTGGAGCATCCATTTCAGATCGTAATAGAAACTCGTCCTTTGATTCCATCTGATGGGTGTCTGGTTCAATAACTGACATTCCTGATAGAATGAAGTCTAACAAAAATGTGCTTCTTACAAGTCTGTCTATCCTGCCAAAGTGCCTCTGACTATATGGGATAAGCCCTTCAAGTAGTTCCGCGATCCCTTTAATCTGAAATGTCCCATAAAAAATGTATGTCAACATTTTTTGTTTCCTCAAAAACTTGCAATTGTATACGATAAAACGAAAAAATATCCTAACAAATTGAACTAAGATACATATGCCTATATCCTTTTTTACATAAACAGGTGGATATGAAAATGTTTTTCCAAAATCTAAAAAATGGATTAAAAGTGGCATTATGTAGCATTCTATGCAATATTGGTTTATCATCATAAACATACTTTACCCTAATGCTATAATCCAATTTCTATCCGTTATAATATATACAATAGTTAGATTTTATACCAAATATCATATTTCTACAAGATTTTCTCATTTGCATTAAAGCGGAGAATACAATCTGAAAATTAAATCAGTTCGAGCTGTATATGCAGCCTGAACTAATCAGCCTGTGTGTTGCAGTTTTTAAGGATAAGAATTTTATAAAGCCTCTTGAAGAATGGCTAAAAAAACACCTGAACAATATCGGTTGGAGGAAAGATGTTGAAAACTCTGAAAAGCACGAACTGTGAGACATAACAGAGCTTTGGTTTTGTATTCCATTCTCGAATATAGTTAAATAATAAACGAAGCTCTTCATTGCCAAAGGCCTTAAGTGCTCTGTCAACGTGATCTTCAGCCCCTTTCTTTCTGCACAACAAGATTTGAATGCCAGTCATGTGAATACCAACAAGATTCGGGTATAAAATAGATAAAAGCTAACCTGCAAAGTTCTGCAAATAACTCCAAAAGTTTATGGGGTCTGCGCAATTCAAATGCAATTTGGACTGCCTTGGTATAGTCGGCATCTGATAGGGCATTCTCTAGCTCTTGACCTTTCAAAACTTCCTCTTCCTGCATCGACAATAGAAACCATATTACTTTTTGTTAAAACTCATTATCTTTTTCCAAAGAAATTGGGATAAACTCCCCAATTACAAAGATGTTGCAGAACTTCAAGGATATGCCTCTCCCATGTAAAATGCCTCAAATCTCTCATAAAATGATATTATAGTTCTTGATCACAACCTCTCCTCTTACTCATAGATAACATGCCTTACTATCTCAACCTAATTTACTTTATTCTCTCACAATAATAGTCACTAACAGAGACCTAACACTTTTCTAATACACAAGGCACACATATTTTAAAGAGTATTTCTCTGTGCTGACTGTGTAACTCTAATTTTATCTGATTGTGTAACCACTCATCCATCAAAATTTATGCATCGTGTAATGGGGAATAATTGTAGAATCAAACTTAGCAATCATTACTATCATCAATCTTTGATTTAACCTCAATGCTATGTGGAAAACAAAAATGCAGTCAGTTTAACAAACCTCTTTACGAAAAGCTTCTTCTTTATCAGCTGCAGTGGAATCTAGCCATAAATTGACAACAGCATCACTGCCACCAGTTGCAAGAAGCTCTGTTTTGCTGCCTACAGCCAAGGCCCAAACCTGCAGAGTAAAAAAAAATCAGCTTAAGATTACAAGGGCCAAAAAACTCAAAGTTCATGTGTCAAGGAAAATTGTGGGAAATATGGGAAGGTCATTAAAACCTTGCAACTGCATTTTGAGAAAACGCATGAATGAAACAAAACACCTTGTAAATATATACGACCCACTCTAATTAACTAGTCTTTATACTCAAACCAAATGAAATATATACTGATATTAACTGTTAAGCAAATACTCAAATAAGTTACATATCATTATCTATATTGCAAACTATCTTATGGAGCAAAAAGTAAGTTATATATCATCATCTATATTATACATACTATCTTATGGAGCAAGAAGAAATTCAGAGAGGTGTCACTGCCAAAATATAATCTACACACTTGAAGTTAAAAATAAAAAGATATGGCTAAAATAATTTGAATTAAAATGTTCTAAGTTTCGAAATAATAAATGATCAAGAAAAGCATAATTTGAATGTTCAGTAGCGTCTATACAGTTTTCTGGCTGAGAGGAGAATAGGTCAAATCTAAAATTTCTCACTAATAATAGAAGATTCAGAAACTCTACTAAGAATCTTGAAGTAACACATTTGTGAGGGCCCTCAACCAAACACACATGTATAAAATAATCCCTCAACCAATAAGGCCCTGAAGAAAAACCGCAAAAATGGGAATATAAGTATATAACATAGGATTGAGTAGAACCTTGTCTTCGTGATGGTCATATGTGGCAACACATTCATTTGATTTTACGGTCCATAGTTTTAATAACCCATCAGCACCTGAAATATTAATTGAGGATATCACACAAGCAATCAAAATGATGGAAATTGATAAAATCACTATAGATAGCCCCATACCACAAGAAACAATCTGTGTTCCACGAGTAACAAACAGTGCTCTTAACACACTTGAAGTGTGTCCTTCAAATGTCTTCAAACACGAGCCATCAGATATAGCCCATATCCTTATTGTTTTGTCCCCAGATGCTGTTACTACACATTGATCAACAGGGGAAAACTCTACAGACCAGATTCCTCTTTTATGCCCTTTAAATACAACTACTGATACTAGATCTGGAAGTCTCCAAACACATGCGGTGCGGTCCTGATTGAAGACGTGAAAATATAATTGATAGCAATTACAATGGAAGCACAAAATTTTCAAACAGGAAGAGTAAAGGAAGGAAGTCGGTGTAAGTAGTCTTTACACGTTAAAAAATTATAAAGAATATTATAGTCAGCAATGGGAACATACCTTTTAATAAGATTAGTTAATATAAATGACCAAAGAAATTTGCAAGTCATATATAATACCAACCTGAGAACCACTACATACTAAACTATCATTTGGAGCAACAGCTACAGAATTGATATCTTTATCGTGAGCTGCAACAACAGCTTTTGCTTTTAAGTTAATTGGTGCTGTCAAATTGTCCAAGAGACCATCCATACTCCACACCTTAAGAGTATGATCACTGAGAAACATTCACTCATTCATAAGAAAAAATTTAAACAGTATAGTAGTATCTGAAAGCTTGCACGTTCAAAACCAAAGGACTCAATAATAAACCTGGTAACATATTGGAACAGTCAAGTCACCCAGCATAAAAAAAAAAGGAAAGTTTAACATCAAAAAATAAACAGGAAAGTCAAACTTGATGTTTGGGGATAATGATCCGTTGGGAAGACTATCTTGAAAGAGATAAATGTGGATGTCTTCTTTAAAAGATTGGCAACACAGCATAGGTCAACCATAATGTTTTTAACATGTTACTCAAAGTGATTGGCAACACAGCATAGGTCAACCATAATGTTTTTAACATGTTACTCAAAGTGATTGGCAACACAGCATAGGTCAACCATAATGTTTTTAACATGTTACTCAAAGTGACATTGTCACTGGCAAAACAGAGCAACAGATGGCAATAAAACTCAACAGCAGAAATTTTTTGAAAATATATTTCTAACTAGTTAAGGTGCTAAACTGCTTCTGTGAGAGAAATAAGAGATAAGACTACTTATTCTCTTTTTCATTTATAACACTATCATTTGAGAATAGATTTAAAAAACCAAGGCATACCACAAATTCATTACAACTTTCATGCGCTTTTTCCTCTTACAGTAATTACTTTTACTATTAAAAGAGTTATCATGAGAAAAACCATATAAAGCGACTCCAATATGCACGAACTTATGGAGAGTAAAAAGAGCAAATAAATCCTTGCTGTTATGAAAAAAAAATTAATGCATCTACAGATTCTACACTCACCTACTGCCACTAACAAAGAAGTCCCGTTTTTTCTTTGAAAATGCAATGGCTCCAACAGCTCCAATGTGACCTATACCGACTCCAATGCAGCTTGTAATTTCTGAGTCCCATAACCTAACCTATACAGCAAGTGGACATTCTTACATAATTTTAGATTGACTTCAACACAGTGCACTACAAGCATATTATTATTATTAACTTATTAGGACAAAAACATTATATAAGAGTTCCCGCAGAAGAAAGTTCAAAGTCTTAGTTTGAGACCAAAGAGGAAAAACTTACAGTGTTATCTTTACTTCCAGTCACAATTAGGTTTCTCCCAGAACTTGATACACAGGTGTCAAGGCATAGAATTATTTCAGTATGACCAGATAAGACATAAGAACATGACATAGATGCAAGGTCATAAACCCGGACCTGCAAAGGGGTAGTTTGTTAAAGACCGAGAACTTAAACATCAGACTTGCATGACTGAAGAATGGAGAACTGATACATAACAAATTGAAGGGTGGTAATAAAATGCTGAAGTTCTTGGATTGGATTAGTCGGTCGCAAGGCCGGATACTAAGATTTCAAAAAAAAATGCTGAACTTCTTACATTGATCAATCATTCAAATCCCAACAAATAGGGAAACGACGTCTCCTTTATCCTTTTGTGAAAATAATTGTATAGCTTTAATAAAATTAGGATTGTTCAATTTCAAAAAAATAGGATATATAGTTTTCTGGTGTGATATTACACCAGTCTATGCAAGACACTTTTGACTAGCACTTCATTTATTTTTCTGGTTCGTGTTCTTTTTTGTCCTCATTTGCAATGCAACCAACGGAAATTTATCCTTTTTTAGCATAAAGTGTAAATCTACTGGCTCATTTTTATACCTGTTCAAGATTTGTAGCAAGAGCAAGGAACTTTTCATCATCCCCAACAAACTTCATATCTACAACCTCTTCATTATATCCCACTAGTCTTTTGGTAAGATTTAATTGCAACAACTCTTCAATCCAATTCAGAGAGTAAAACAGAAACTGCTGATCTGCAGTCACGCAAAGCAATCCTTGATCCGAGCCAAGCATAACAGCAGAAATGAAACCCCTACGTGAACCATCCTCGTTTGTGTTGTTTGTAACATCTGAAGCTTTTTGCTCAAACAAGCAAACTGCACTGTTGATATTAAATAAAAAAGTTGAGTGCACAGCTTCCATCTTGATTAAGATAATTTTTTTGAAATTTAAAGGTCGTTATGAATCTAATGATGAAGTTGGTAAAAAATATTATATCCCAAATTTAGGTGTGCCAAATTACAAGTTACAGGCTGCCACCGTATAAATAAACTCCAAGTAACAAACACAAATTATGTTACCACGTTTTTAACTCGGGTCCTTCCATACCTCCCATATTTCATTTCAGTCCACCATTAAATAAGACTAATTCATGCAAATTGATATGGAACTAGAAATATTTTAACTAATGGAAAAAAAATCCACATGTATTACCCTTCAGAACTCCATATGCGCACAATGCCTCGTTCACCAACAGTAACAAAATGTGTTGCTTGAGAAACAGCATGTTTTTTTGAATTTTGCCGATATGAATCTAATGATGAAGCAAAAGGACTCCCAGCACTAATAAGACAAACAGATTCAACTGCCTCATTTGTGATGACAGTCTTCTTGATACTATAATTCCGAAGATCCCACAATGTTACAATCTGCCAATACAAATCCACAGACCAATTTGTCAAACTAATAAATTAAGTTCGTTGCAGTTTTGGCCTACTAGTAAAACTACCATCCAGACAAATTAAGCAATGTGTAAAACTGATGATAAGTCTCGCTTTAAAGAAAAATAAATAAAATGGAAAAAAAAAAAAGCTTATGGTGTAAGAGGAGAAATAGCGGAAACCGCAAAGTGGTTGAAATAAATAACTAAAAATAAAATAGAGCATTCCGCACACAAATAAAAGCTGAATAAACAGAAATTAAAAAGGTGACCAACAGAAAAAACTCAATCGCAACAGTTCAAACTAACAGAAGTGTTGTTTCATTTTCCGCAGTTGATCTAAATCCCACTATGTAATAGCAGTATAGCAATTCTATATAAGTTATTTAACAACACTTAACCATTGTATCACAGGTAAATTAAAACAAAAAGGAAAGTAAAGAGTTATAAATCTTGCCTTATCTCTTCCAGCACTGAGCAGTGTCCATCCGTCTTCAGATACTGCAATGGAAGTCACTGCAGAGCGATGATTATCTAGGATTGCAATGCAGGTCTTTCGCTTGGGATTGGAAATATCCCAAACCCTTACAGTTGCATTATCACCACCATCATCACTACCAGAAAAAAGCTGCACACACCAATTCCATTAGGAAAAGTTAAGCATATGAAAATGGACTCAACACTTGCAGATGGTTGGAAACAAGTAGTGAACAAAATACACATTTGAACTAAAAGGATTAGAACAAACTATCTTATCAATTCTTTTACTTTAGAATTACAATACTCCTCCACCCTTCTCATGTTACATTAACTTAAGTTTTCTTGTCCTTCAAAATTCACACAACGTAAACCAAAATGGAAAGGATAAAAAAAGACATAATCACATTATATGACCATCAATGAAAGCTTACACTACTCGTGTCCCTGTCACCCGTCATCATTAATCACACTAAATCAAGCAGTTACAAAATGACTTGTTGTTTTAGATTTTCCACATGGAAAAGAGGATTTTAATGTGTAGCAGTTGCTCACATAACAGTAGTCAGTTATTATGATTCGATTCGTCTTGGTAGTGACAATTTGTTCAATTAATCCCTATTAAGAAAATGCATAGTGGCACAAACACAATGCAATAACGTAAATAGCATTAAGGTGGTGGACTCACAAGCTGTTTCTCATGATCAGGATGAAACATAACACAAGAAACAACTCCACCGTGACCTCTATAGAAATGCGTGCAAAATCCAGCATCAACATTCCAAACAAGGACATTCCTATCCGCTCCACCAGTAGCAAGCAACCCTCCAGAAGCATCACAAGCCATACACATAACAGGACCCCCCTCATGACCCTAAAACAATACCAAAATCAATTACACTACATAAGCATAACCGAAGATTGAATTGAACTTAATCAGCTAAACCTAATCTGACTGTACCTTCCACGAGCGCACGCATTTGAGAGTGGATAAGTCCCAAACTCTGATTTGGCGGCTGTGGCTGGAAGAGAATAGAACTTTATCGTTGGGGCCAAGAGCCAGAGCGGTGACTTGTTCGGAGTCACCTTCAAGGGTGGACCTGATGGAAGCGTTGGCGGAATCGACGATTTTAATGGAATCGCCGCATGCGCAGACGATGAAGGAACCGTCTGATGAGACGGCGTAGGGGCCGCCGGTGTAAAACTGTTGCAGGGCCGGAACACAGCGGTAGTTGGTTTTCAAACGAAGGGACTCCATTTGATATTTGGCTCAATGTAACTGTGTGTGAATCAAAATTAGTTAAAGGAAGAAGTAGGGTTTATGTGCCAGGGTTTTGGTGGCTTTTTATTTTATTATTATATATCATCACTATTGTTTTTTTTTTAATTAATACTTGTTGAGCTCTTTTTTTATGAGCTCTTTTGATTTTGCTTAAAGAGGATTGATTATGTTTTTTAAATACGGAAAATGTTTTTATATTTAATTAATTGCATTATTTTCCTTTTTTTCAAAATAATAGAAACAACGTATACCAAAAAAATAGAAAAGTTCTCCAAATAAATTTGAATTGTTGGTTGATTTCTTTTTTTCAAAATAATAGAAACAACGTACACCAAAAAAAATAGAAAAATTCTCGAAATAAATCTAAATTGTTGGTTGATTTGAATTTTGCTTTGAGATTATACTTTTTTTTAAGGAGAGAGGTGAAGTCTAAATAAACTTACATATGAATCGGTTAATGAGGGGTGTTCGAGGTGTAATTTGGACGATTTGGAAAAAAAAAATATCAAAGTTGCAAGAGAAAAAAATGTGTAATTTAGTTTAGTATGATTGGCTTTTAAAAATAAAATTGAATCAACCAACGCGATTTGGGTTGGTACGGTTTTTTATCAAAAATTTATTGAGTCATACATATACGTATAAATGACAACATAGTTTTGTATTTAGTTATTTATGTGTTATAAAATAACAATAAAATTTATCATATTTGGATAACAACTTTCTATTTAATATACAAAAATAATATTAAGAAAAAGTGGAATAAATAATGTAATATAGTAGCTTAAAACAATATAAAAAATATTATAATAAACCAGAAAAAACAGAGGAGACGAAAGATTAGAGAAGATGAAAAAGAAAGAGCATAAGAGATGAGAGATTATAGAATAATAGGTGCATTAAAAACATAATTGGAAGAGAGAACAATAGAATAAAATTAAGAAGATGAAAAATAAATAACATAAGAGATGAGAGACTAGAGAAGAAGAGGCGAGATGTACATGGAAAAGAAGATGAGAAGAAGGTTTCATACCGTTGTTGTACCCACAAAATTTCCCTCTTGACTTTGACTTCAACCCCAATTGGCTTTTGCTTCAAATTCATATGCATAATTCATTAGGTCATTAACTTCACAATCATGCATAGCTTTGGTACCTAAGGCATGGGATCACATCACTCTTGTGAAGAATTTGTCACTCGAGATTGGCAAAGATTGATTCATCATCATTCCTCAAGGCACAAGGATCTTTATCTTCTTCAAGATGGTTCAAGTGATAGGGTTTCATTATTAGTTCATCAAAAGATTGAGTTGAATTAGGGTATTGATCTTATTCAACACCTCAAGCCATTATTGAGTGAAGTTAGGGTTTTCAAACACCTCGAGTCTTCCATTACACAAGTTTCTGTTAGAACAAAGTTTGAATCTACTACCCTATATTTAAGTTTTGATGATAACAAAGTGAAAAGATATAGTATTTATAAGTTTCATGAATGAACTATCTGCTGCCTAAAATTATTATGTTCTGACTTGCAGATACTCTGATTGATATAAGCAAGATCACATCTATTCAGCATCAGAACTTGATTTCAGACACCAGCATCAGAAGTTGCTACATCAGAATGTCAAAATCAGATGATCAACTCACGTACATGCTGAAGCCTGATGAACAAGACTGCGCTCAACACTCTGATACAGAAACACAATAGTTCATCAGCAGCGAAGCAGAGTCAGAATGAGCCAAGCCAGAACTTGCATTAAGTAAGCAACGGTACTGTGCATTGAAAGCAAATTAATTCCAACGGCCTCATTCCAGACAAGATCTGCTAAATAAGGAAAGCTTGTTATTAGCATTGAATCAAGAATATTGCATCCAACGTTCATCATCTCATGCTATATAAACAAGGCTTTGAAGATGGAAATGGTTAATGCTCTCCAAATCTCTACACGCACAAAAAGCTAAACCATAATCTTCGTTCTCTCAGTTTTGCTAAACCACACACTCTGATATTCCATTACTGTTTAGCAATCTAGTTTCTAAGCTTCAATTTGTGTATACATCACAGTTGTGATAAAGTTTTGTAGAAAACATCCACACACATAGTTTTATCTCTTTGTAAGAAAGTGTTACCTTGACAAACCGGGTTGTGGTTTGAATCAAGAAGGCTTTAGCAGTTGTTAAAGCAGTCTGTAATATTCAGTTGAATATAGTGGATTAAGACCTCGTTGGAGAGAGGCGAAATCACCTTGACGGGTGGACTGGAGTAGTTTGAGATCAAACGAACCAGGATAAAAATATCTTGTTTATTGCTTTAGATTTCAGTTGTACAATTCAACCCCCCCTTCTTGTGTTTTTCACCACTTCAATTGGCATCAGAGCGCCTGGTTCTGAGCTAAAACACTTAACTGTGTCAGTACAAGATCCAGCGTCAGAAAAACACAATGGCAGGAAACAATTCTCACATCAGCAATGACAACAATGAGGACAGAGACAGATTCAGTGGCAAACCTCCAGTCTTTGATGGAGAAAACTTTGATTACTGGAAAGACAGAATTGAAAGCTTCTTTCTGGCACATGATGCTGATCTGTGGGATATGGTGACAGATGGATACACGCACCCTGTGAATGCAAGTGGTCAGAAGATTGATAGAAAAGCAATGTCTGATCAACAAAAGCGTGACTTCAAGAATCACCACAAGGCCAGAACCATCCTCCTCAGTGCCATCTCCTATACTGAGTATGAAAAGATCTCCAACAGAGACACAGCAAAGAATATCTTTGATTCTCTCAGAATGACGCATGAGGGCAACGTTCAGGTCAAAGAAACAAAAGCTCTGGCGCTCATTCAGAAGTATGAGGTGTTCAAAATGGAAGAATCTGAATCCATTGAAACTATGTTCTCTAGATTCCAGATTCTGGTAGCTGGTCTCAAAGTTCTGGACAAAGGGTACTCTACTGCTGACCATGTCAAGAAAATAGTCAGAAGTTTACCCAAGCAGTGGAGACCTATGGTTACTGCTCTGAAGCTAGCTAAAGATCTCAACAAAATCACTCTGGAGGAACTTATCAGCTCCCTCAGAAGTCATGAGATAGAGCTAGAAGCTGATGAGCCTCAGAAGCAAGGTAAGCCTTTAGCATTAAAATCTAACAGAAAATTTGAGTCTAAAGTTTTGCAGGCAGTTGAAGAAACATCTGATGGATCCCTATCAGAAGAAGACGAACTTTCCCTTCTCTCCAGAAGAGTAAATCAACTGTGGAAGCAAAGACAAAGGAAGTTCAGGAATCCCAGAAGATCTGATCAGAACGAGTCTTCTTCCAGATACAGAAGGACAAATTCCTCCTCTGGATACAGAAGATCTGAAGGCTCCTCCAGTAGCAAAAAGCCAAACACAAAAGACATCATCTGCTATGAGTGCAATGAGCAAGGACACTACAAGAGTGACAGCCCAAAGCTTCAGAGGGAAAAGCCCAAAAAGAAGTTTGGAAGAGAGAAGAAGAAAAGTCTCATGGCTACATGGGATGACTCTGACTCGTCTGAAGCTGACACAGAATCAGATGATGAAAGGGCAAACATAGCTCTCATGGCTAACATTTCAGAAGATAGTGAAGCTTCTGAATCAGACTCAGAATCAGACACAGAAGAGGTATTTCCTAACTTTGCTGTTAACTTTACAAAGGCTGAACTTGCTGAAAGCCTTAATGAAATTCTGGAACGTTATCAGCAAATTAGAGCTAAATTCAGAGACCTGAAAAGGAATCTTGAATCTGACTCTAATAAGTCTGAGAGTCTCAAATTGGAAAATTCTGAGCTGAGAAATAAGATTTCAAAATTAGAAAACACTTTACAAAACTCTCAGAAGGAACCAATTTCTGAAACTCCCAGCAACGCTGATGAGATCATCAAGGAGTATGATCGCAGTTTCCAGAAGTTCCTAGCTAAAAGCATAGATAGAAGCAGAATGGCTTCAATGATCTATGGAGTTAGCAGAAACGGCAGGAAAGGAATAGGATACCAAGGTAAGGTTCCTACACCAAAGAATGTCATGGACTTAACCATTAAACACACTCCTCTGAATTCACACTTTGTGTATGGTCACACACATGATATCAAATATACTAGCAGTAAGCACTCTGTGAAACCAAAATTCAACCAGAGTTTTGGTAAAACTAACAAATCAGGACCCAAGAAAATCTGGGTACCTAAGGATAAAATAATACATGTTGCAGATATCTTTAGCAGCAAGTCAGAAACACCAGTCATGGTACCTGGACTCTGGCTGCTCACGACACATGACGGGAAGAAGGCATATGTTCCAAAGCCTGGAACTTAAGCCTGGAGGCCACGTTGGCTTTGGAGGCAATCAGAGGGGAAAGATAATTGGCTCTGGAACTGTAGGTAATGGAAATCTTCCCTCTATTAATAATGTTCTACTAGTAGATGGATTGATGCATAATCTGTTATCCATAAGTCAATTAAGTGATAACGGTTATGATATAATCTTTAATAAAAAATCATGTAAAGCTGTTAGTCAGAAAGATGGGACTATCCTGTTTAATGGTAAGAGGAAAAACAACATTTACAAAATCAAACTTTCTGAACTAAAGAGTCAAAATGTAAAATGTCTTCTGTCTGTTAACAACGAGCAGTGGATCTGGCACAGAAGATTGGGGCATGTTAGCATGAGAAGAATATCTCAGATTAACAAACTCAATCTGGTCAGAGGACTTCCTAATTTGAAGTTCAATTCAGATGCTCTGTGTGAAGCATGTCAGAAAGGCAAATTTGCAAAACCTTCTTTTAAATCCAAAAATGTTGTTTCTACCTCTAAGCCATTAGAACTTCTGCACATTGACTTGTTTGGACCAGTTAAAACTGCTTCAGTCAGTGGTAAGAAGTATGGGTTAGTAATCGTAGATGACTATAGCAGATGGACATGGGTAAAGTTCTTAAGACACAAGGACGAGTCACACTCTGTGTTT